CCATGGGGATGCCAATTAACTAATTAATCCAGAGGGTCATTAATCCTCTATGACCCACAGGTAGTCAGGTTCAGGGCATTAAAGTAAGTTAATTTCCCTGAGCATTGATCTACTGCCTGACCCCACTCAGAGTTAGGAAGAGTAGCTACACACTACAACACAGGTAGGTTGAGCAATATAAGCTGTATTACACAAAAAAACCCATGCAACAACTATGCAACGCAATATTCCTGTAACACCTGAGCCACAACACAATAAAATACACCCGATAAGACAATAACCCAATGCATATCCCAAACCCAACATCCCCGGTCACACAACTAATCAACTACACATTACAATGAGCTTCAGTCACTACACAGTAACTGCTATGCAACTTCACAGACAACCCAGAAACCACAGATGGTTGGCAAGAACACCCTGTGCCTAGTCAGCAGGAGAAACCCTCTGACAGTCTCTGAGGCTTTTCCCTTCTTAGGTACTTAGCACCTCAAATAGGGAAAGGGACATACTTTACCCAACTGCAGCTTCCACAGCCAAAGCCCAAAGGAAAGAGCACAAGACAGGTAAACCTCAGCAAGCTCAATCTGAATGACCAGTAGGCAAGGAACCTGCACCCGACAAACTCCCACACCCCAAGACCCTGAAATCAGAACTGTCCAGCTGGAGTGAGAGTGAGGCCAAGCCCGAGCCCTTGCTGGATGCTCTGGACAGGATTTATAGCCTTCTAATCATACCACCTGTCACTCACTCAATGGTCCGCTCATCTTTGCACAATACCCAGTCAAATTGAAACCTGGGCAATACTTAAAAGGACCAATCAATTCAAACTAATTCAACTCAATACACGCAACATTATCATAACTGCCTTATTAATGAACATATCAACATTGATAAATAGTTGCATTACCATTATAGACTGTGCATGCCCAGACCTTAAAAGTAGGTCATGACTTCATCAAGGTTGAGAGTTCAAACCCTGTAGAAACTTCTCCTCTATAGTCATATGGCGCATGCGTGGACTTTCACTGTTCTATACTAGGTGCTTGACCAATGCAACTGAGCATGGACCAAGTGCTAGTACACCTTCCTGTGAGAGAGACATAGTAGGGGCTGCAAAGGAGGCTGGGATGCCATAGGATAGTGATCTAATTTGAATTGATAGGGAAACAATACATAAGTTTGGTACACTGGTCTAACCTGAATCTATCTTAATTGAGTGCATCTCAGATGAGGTCTATGTTAGGTTGTTTTCACCATTTTTAGTTTGGTCGATGTGCATTGAACTTCTGTATGGTTATGGGTTTAGATCAATCTACATTTACTTAGACCTGTCTAAGTGTAATGTCTGTATGTGCCCAAGCAGCTGATCAGAGTAGTGCATCTAGCCCATAATATCCACATCACCCCCAGACATTCAGAAGCCATGTCATTCTTGGAAAATAAACATTCTAAATGGTCTTATGCATATTGACTGGAGATCTATAAGTTATAGGTAACATGCTAGCTTTATCATTTATTTTTCTAAATATCAACATGAGGCATTTGCCCATTTTTTTGTTTTTAAATTGAGGAAGAATGAATATAAGCAATATTTTTAATGTAGAACAGGGGCAGGCAATTATTTGGGCCACATAGACAGTTCTAGGTCTCTGCCATGGGCCGCTCACAGCACCCACTACTCCCTTGCAGCAGTCCGGAGCCCACACACACTGCAGCTCCTCCCTGCCACCATCAACAGGGCGTAGCTTCAGCCCTGACCCTGCCCACACCTGTTCCTGCTCCAGATTCACCCCAGTTAAAGTGGACCAGGCAGAACCCGTGCACACAGCCCTGCCCCAGCCTGCCCCATGTCTGCTCCAGACCACTGCTCCCCATGCTGAGCAGTGGCAGCAGTGGCAGTGGCCAGGCAGAAGCTGAAGCTCAGCACAGGAGAAAAGAGACCTCCACTCACACTGATACTGGGCCCTTCATGCTGCAGCTGCCTGGAGCCTGTACCTGGGGTGCCCTGCAGCTCCTCTCTACCAACATCACTGCCACCTCAAGGGCTGCCCAGCGGGACAGCAGTGACAGTGCCAAGGAGCTGCAGGACAGCCCGGGGTGAGGGCTCTGGGCAGCTGCAGGAAGAAGGACCTGGCAGTTGTGAAAGGGAAGGGCCACTTTTCCCCTCACACCAAGCAGTAGCTTCTGCCTTACCACCGCCACTACTGCCACTTTTCAGTGTGGGCAGGTGAGTTCGAAGCAGGGCCAGGCTAGGGCTGGGGTTGTGCATGCAGGTTACAGCTGGTCCAGAGCTGATCCACTCTGCCAGGTTGAATCCAGAGTGGGCACAGGGCAGGCTGGGGTCGTGGTTGTGCGTGTGGGTCCCCATCAGTACCACAAGTCCGGGGCCAATGGTGGTGGCAGCCTGGAGCCACTGCTTCCTGGGCTTCCTAAAAAGGGAATCTAGCTGCAGAGCTGCTCCAGCCACACTGCATGCCAAAGGGACAGTGGGACACACCATGGCCTAGACAGCACCTGGGCCTCAAGCCAAACAAAGTCCATTTGCAGGCTGGGCCCAGCCTGCAGGCCATATTTTGCCCAACCTAATGTAGAACCATCAACAATATCAGAAATCAAACTTAAAAAATATTTATTTAAAAGCAACCTAAAAGGCTTCTACTTCACTAATGCTACTTACTAAAGCTATTGCTAATGACTTGTGAAAACTGCAGGCCAACTTCCTAATTTAGACCACTATTTGTGTTTAAAAAGCTGCTATGCCATTGGTATCTGATCACAGATAGCTGTGAAAATTCTGGTAAATGCTCTATGAAGAACAATGTTTTGTTTTCTAAACTGCAGCTTTGGGGAGTTCATCATCAACAAGGGAACAACAAAATAGAAGTTGGTTGACAGAGCAACTACTTTTAAGTTATTTGTATAGAGATCATGAACTTATCCAAACAAGGTTCTTTGGGTAAATCTGGAATTTTTTATTAGACCAACTCAAATAGTCAAATAGAGAAGCCAGAGGCTATTCATTCCATCCAGGAAGAGCACACACCAACTGCAGATGATTCCTCAGCCCGATGAAGGGTATCTATACCCAAAAGCTTGCAAAGAAGAATTTTTCAAACTATTTGAGTTGGTCTAATAAAAAATACCGACTTTACCCAAAGAACCTTGTCTGCTTATATGTCCTTAGACCAACACAGCTACAACCTAGACCCCTGAAATTCTCCAGTGTATTTATTATTTAGATTTATTCACAAAATAGCTAATGTAAAAAAATAATTCCTTTACAACATTTGCTATTGAAAACTCAAGTTTCTCTGAATATGAGTCATGTAATGTGTTTCTTTTTCCTTTTTGGAGAACAGTTATGCTTAAAATTAGGTTTCAAATGCAAATAAAGATGACTGAAACTGAAATTTGCTTTAATTAACATTCTGCTGCAGTATTTTAAAATTGGTCACTTTGGTGAAGTATCCAGCTGGCAGATTTCTTTGCAAATCATCACAGAAATACAAAACAAAAGGGACAAATGAAGAAAATGAGTTTAAAACTTTTAATGACTATGCATGCATTGAGAACATTGAGTGTATTTTAGTATTAGCAAAAACATTAATGAACCAAAGTGCTGATCCATTAGAAGTGGCCTTTAATGTATATTTTAATGTGTGCTGTAAATTCATTCTTGAGGTTTTCTTCTTTTCTTTTTTATTAATTCATAATACAGAAAACATAATGTTCCTTGAGCTGTAGATAAAATATGTTGTCAATTAGCGATCAGCATACATACATCAGGCTTTAGAAGACCATGAGAAATAAAACCAATTCTTTGTCTTTTTAACTTGTCTGTAAAAGAGCGTGATCTCCTTTGTGTATTCATAACAACAATGTAGAGAAAATGTCCAAATGCCTAAATGTGCCAGGTTCAACCCTAATGGACTTCATTTCTTGAATGAATTGCCTGTGAACGATTACACTAAATGTTTTTTGTAACTTTGTATTATTTTTATATGGCACAATGGACTTCCTTTCTTTGTCATTACACTATGGTTATGAAACTAAAGAACCCCATATTCTCACTTTGCACCAGACGTTGAAAACCTCACAATCCCTCTGAGGACCATCCCTTAACAATGCATCTTCCTTAACTCTGTGACTTGCTGCTCCATAACTTGAGTTTTACATGTCCTTGCTCTCTAATGATTTTCATCAGCGTGGTGATCCTGTTCTAAAGAGCTCACTACAAAAGATAAGCTGAGCTACTGTTCCAACCACAGATATTTTTTCTTGTAGTATGTATTTTCTCCTGACTGGAAAAAAACTAACTCAGGTACCCCTAAATCTCAGTCTTTCCTGTAATTCCTATTACACCGTGCAAGTGAGATCTGACAAATGTTCCGAGGGAAAGTTTAAATATTTTTTCTTAAACCTTTTGAAGTGAGACAAGTTAATAGTACAATTTTTTTTAGCCTTATTCTAGCTAAATGTTAGCTAATAATGAAGGGATTGAAAAAGAGTGGTTGAGACCTCCTCTATATCTATATTACATATAAATAACCAGGGGATATTAGATCAAATTTAAAAACAGTTAATTTACTAATTCCAAATTGACAAAAAATACTTTTTTTTTTACATAATATCTAGTTAGCCTGCTACAAAATGAGTAGAGGTATAAAATTAACAGACATTTTTCTGAAATATAAACCAGACACTGGCTGTTTTAGGTGGTTTATTCTTCTCTATTGTGAAACCAAAGACTGCTCTCCAGCATGAACAAATTACTTTTATTGAATCACTCTGATCTGTGTGCATTTAAGTGGAGTAACTGAAAGGTCTTATTGCTATAAATCCCTTTCATTCCTTGTTTCATTCCCCAAATCATGAACTCATATAGAAAACTTAAGAATTTTAGTGTGCAGATTTGAAGTAAAATCCTAGCCTAATGGAAGTCAATGGCAAAATTCCCAGAGTTCAGTGAGGCCAAGAGTTCGACCCATGTATAAATATTGTATGTGATAAGCATAAAAATGCTTTTCTGTGCTGCAAAAATAAGAAATAAGAAAATTATATAGACTATAATTACAATTATATAGACACATATCCTGGTGCTGATTTATACAGCTACTGAACTTTGGAGCAATTAGTATTTTTTTTGTACATAAGTATCTTTTGTCTTTAAAAGCTTTCTTTTCTTCATCCCAAAGCTATGCAGAGTGTACTTGGCTTTAGCTACCACTTGTCTCTTTTTACAAAGCTGTTGCTGCTGCTACTTCCTCTCAGTAGGAAGTGATCCATGTGAGAGAGGCTCCAGTTCATATTTTTAAAATAACATTTCTCTCCCTTTAATGTGAAATAATCCTCAATCACTTCATGGAGATGAAAGGGAAAGTTTAAATCTATTCCAATATTTCATTCTCTTTCCTATAATTAACATTTTACCTATCCCAGCTGACCTGTCTTACATGTGAAATTCAGAATGGCTTCACATGAATGAACAAGTCTATATTATAACAGAGGAGTCTGTAATGTGTCTATTTGATGAAGAGAAATAGTGCTAGCTTCCTTCATGGAATAGCAGAAACTGAAATATAAAGAAGGGAAATTTTTAGTCTGGTGGAAATGAAAAGAAATAAATCTTATATGGGAAAAGAAAGGATTTGTTTCCAAATTTAGGGAGTGCAACAGGAATGGGCCACCCTTCACCCAGTAATAACCCTACCTTCATGGATTAGAGTGGTTCTGTTTCTTATATATAAGCATCCTTAAAAAGAGAGAAGCCCCGATATTGTAGCAAAACCCCGAGTTTTTCTTTTTTTATTTATTTTAAAATGCGTTCCCTCGCCTTCCCCAACCATTTCTGACTTTTTCTCTCCCTCTCTA